TCAAGTGCAAGAATTTTCTTTTGACTGGCTTCTTCTTGATTACACTTTTGAGTACCTGAACCATCATGATAGTTTAAAGAGATCTTAACTACATGCATTTTGTTTTGTTGGATGTCACAGTGTAATCAAGTATTAATAATAGGTAATATACATATGACAAGAGGAGTGCTGGTATCTGCATCATCATCTTGCTCTCCTTGACAAGCCTTGTGCATTCATCGGAAAAGCAAAGCTATGGCAAGGGAGGTCCAACCGGCAAAGTGGTTAGTACATCATCAACAGGCTCTTCTAGTGTTTTGACCAGATCATTGACAGCAAGTTATCCCAATTAAAGCTTTGAATAGTCGCGGCTACAGTGCAACAGTAGATGCACACAGCTTCATTGCATTATGTGCGCGATAAGATCCTCCAAGTGGGTGTAAGACAAACATTTTGGCATTGTTCCCTGAAAGGAGCAGACTGGTAGCAAATTCATGGAATATTTCAACTTATTTCTTCTTCTCTTGTCTAATCCAGTTAGTGTGTGTATATGAGAGAGAGAGAGAGAGAGAGAGAGAGAGAGAGAGAGACGCCACTCTCCTCCCCGTCTTTTTCTGCGTTAAAAAAAGGGGAGTGAGAAAGAGAGAATTTTACGACTGTCCACAAGCGCAGGCTGTGGGGGAAAAGGAATCCCCGCACGAGCTTCTCATTTCGCCTATCTTCCTTTTTCTTCTCTCTATCTTTTTCCTCGTCTCCTCTTCATCTGGATGAAATGGAATACTAAAACAACTTGGATGCTTCTCTTCCAGGACTAGTCTTTTGTCCAGATGACAGTCATCTCCTCATATATACTCCCCTCACAGCCACAACCCAAATCCCTTCCCAAACGCCAACCTTTGTGATTCCTACCCAGCACTGCTGAATTCACACTGATCTGTCCCTACAAAGACCTTCATTTCAATCCAAGCAGAGAACTCAACCAGTTGCCCTTCTCTTTGATCTTAGAGTAGCCCTCCTTCGTAAAACCTAGGAGCACTCCAAAATCTCTCAACACCTCTTTGTTCTTCGCTTTCTTTAGATATGTATATATATATGTATAGATCAACTAGGTAGAGATCAAATACAACACAAGCTCCAAACCCTCACCGTCCTCTTTCCCTCTCTTGGGAAAACCAGATCCGCCCTAGCTCTTCTATTAAGCAAGAAAAGAGATCGAGTCTTTTCCTGCTCTCCTCCCTCGCTTTCCCCTTATCCGAACAACAGCTAGAGCGGCTTCGATGTTCGATTGTTCCAGTTGCATGTAGGCAGAAAGGAGGAGAGGAATGGAAATGCCAGCTGAAGGAGTCTTCATGGAAGCTGCGTCGGCGCCATCGCCGGACCTCTCCTTGCACATCAGCCTCCCAAACACTGCGCCCTCCGTCTCTGGCGGCGGGATAGCCATTGACCAGGGCAACAGCACCATCGAGCTTCGCCAGGCCGGTGGCGGCGGCAACAACGCCTACACGGAGCTCTCCCTCTCGTACCCTTGGGCAGCACCGCAGGCGGAGAGCTCGTGGCAGCAAAGGATGTTATCAGTGCGACAGTCGCCGCCGTTCGACCACTGCTGCCGCAACCGCTCCACGCTCGATGGCTTGATGGAGGGGTCGAGGCCAATCAAAGGCATCCCTGTCTACAACAACAGTGCCTTCCCTTTCCTCCCTTTAGATCCCAAGTATGGGTTACCCAACCGGGTCTCATCGTATTGTCCTCAGTGGTCCTCCTCCCCATACTTGCCGTCTTCCTTGTCTCCTCCATCGTCCTCCTCGTCGAGCTTCTCTTCCAATTTAGACATGATGCCATCGTCCTTGCTTAACCCGGTCGGTGGCGTCTCAGCATACACCCGAATGGTCACGCCACCGACAAGGTTCAATGGGTTCTCACCAGATCTGTTGATCAAGAACCATTACCAACACCACCAGCTCTTCCAACATCCGCACCACCAGCACCACTATGGCACCAGACCCTTCGATTCCTCGCACAACTTGATGCGGTCGAGGTTTCTGCCAAAGCTCCCCGGGAAGCGGAGCATGCGCGCGCCCCGAATGCGGTGGACCAGTACCCTCCATGCGCGCTTTGTCCATGCCGTGGAGCTCCTCGGCGGCCATGAAAGTAAGCAGTTAACTTGATATGTCTCTCTTATGGATAATATGTCGTGTGATGGGCAGATGTTCTCGAAGTTTTTTTCTGCGTTGATTTCTTCTGACACTTTTGGGTGTTAAAGCTAATCGGTGAGATTAATTGTGGTTGACGTATGATTAGGGGCTACACCAAAGTCAGTACTTGAGCTCATGGATGTCAAAGACCTCACTTTGGCTCATGTCAAGAGCCATTTGCAGGTACGCTCTGCACAATAATCGTGTATAACTTACCTCCAAGACTTTCATGGATCCTCGTTCTCTCTCTCTCTTTGTTTCTCCTATCATCTTATCTGCGTACGGCAGTCTCCTCTGCGAGAAGCAGACACATCTATTCTTTCATTCACTCATTCAGTCAGTCACGCATATCGTTGCATCCGTTGGCTACTGTGCCGAATGAGAGAGAAAGGAAGAGAGTAAGGAGAGAAAAAGTTGTCATCATTTCACAATAATGCAACACCAAACTCGGACTCCGCAGCATCAACGTAAGGCAGAAAACAAGAAAGAAAAGATCCCTTAAAAGGAAAGAATAGATATCGGCACTTGGATTGCAGATGGGTCTTCCCCTCCCTTCTTTTTCTTTCCTCTCTTTCCTTTGCCGTCTCGTGAGGTCACTTCTACAGGACATGCTCTTTTCCTATATGATGCTTCTCACAGTCTCTCTCTCTCTCTCTCTCTCTCTTGACTGGTCTATGCATTTTTTCCAACTTTGCCTCTGCAGATGTATAGAACACTGAAGACCACTGACAAGCCTGCGGCTTCCTCAGGTAATTCATGCTGCTTAGCCTTCTAAGCTCAGTGATGTCTGACACAATGCCCTCTAATGAATTTTTTGGACCTCAATGTTGTTTCTTCTTATTCGTTCATGAAGGTCAATCGGATGGCTCGGGTGAGGAGGATTCAGCTCCAAGTAATGACGATCTTAACTTCGGACGGCTGGGGGAGCAGAGAGTATCATCAGCAGATGGACTCAAACCAAGTCATGGTTTGGACTCCCTTTCAAGCATTACCAACACTGCTGCCAGGTGGAGTAACCCATCAAGGCAAGCTCTACCTTCTCTCACCTTTGCCTTGGATCTTTTACAAAAAGATGTAGTTTAACTCATGAGCTTGGGATTTGGTTGATGGGGATTCATCATCAAGACTACATCTACCTGAAAAGAAAAGGGGTCTAATGGCAGCTTTTGCTTTTGTCTTCCTTTTCTGTGATTGAGATTTCATGGGGAGATATGGTACTCAACTTGGAGGACTTAAAAAAGCAAAGACAGAAGAGGAAAAGAAGTAAGACACACAAGTTCAAAATCATATCAAGGAACAGTCAACTTTTATGGTGCCTATGTGCAATGGCAGTGTCAAGATTTACCCTAGGCACTGATGCATTGTCACATAGGACCAAAAAAGACCTACTATACCTCTTGTTTCAAGCACCCTCCTCCCTTTGGCTTTATTACATTATACTATAGTGGCATGTTGATGGTTCTTCAACACCTCTTGACCTTTTCTTTACTTGGTGTTTTTATTTAATCTTTCCTTCCAATGCATGGCTCTGATTCCAGAAATGTGTTTTTGACCTGACATGCACTAATACCCAGAAACCAATATGTTCCTTCATCTCCAAATTAGTATCTCTTGTGGCTGCTTTTGCCTTGTTTGGCCTGTTAAACTCTCACACCTTTTCATCTCTCTCTCTCTCTCCCCTCCACATTTCTCTTTAGTTCTCCTCCTTGCAACCTTCTGATAGGACATGGACTCAGCAAACCATTGCCTTCTTTTTTGCCTGGAGAACTTAATAATAATAATAATACATATTAGAAATGTGACTACTGCTGAGCCTTGTATTATTTATTGATGCTCATTCTTACTACCAGAGCTGCTTTTAGTCTTATTCAAGCTTCTCTTGTTTTTGAGCAAACTTCTAGTAATTTGATTCTGTGTCTTTTGCTTTCAGCAGTTTGCTGGTCACTTGATAAGTTCTGATTACCTCTTTCCACTTGAAAACGAAGAACACACACAGTAAACATTGTTGTGAAAAATCTATTCAAGATCCTAAACAAAAAATTGCTGAATGATATAATGGATCAGTGCTGAAGAGAGCTCCATGATTGCCACAGAGTTATGTGTAGCACATATTGGATCCTCATGCACTTTATATCTTTAAGAACTGAGAACAAACTCTCTCGGTTGGTTTGGCTTTCTTCATACACCTTTATTCTGTGTCTCTAAAGCAAGCTATTGTCATATCAAAGAAAAGGAAAGCAAATCTATGATGCAAGTAAAGAACCAAACCTTAGATAACTGGTATTTATGTCATTAAACTTAGCTCCATGAATATGATTTTTTCTGAGAAATGACTCAGAATTTAGTTCTGCCAGATTTCCTAAATGGATTCACATCATATTTCTGATATAAGACATGGATAACTTCAACCATAGAAATATACGCATTTGAGTCATAAATAATTATTGTAATCAAATAAGGAAGGATGTTCTTCTAATATACACTTTCATGGAAATGTCATGCTAATCTTCTGAAGCTATCATTCATTATGCCTGCATTTGGATGTTTAATTACTGAGATTATGGCTAAAGTATCTACATAACACTCTTAGGTCTTTAAGGGTTCTCATGCATCTTTGTTTGTTTAACATCTGTAATCATTTCAGACCTCACTAAAATAGTTCCGAGCATATTCTCATAGTTATGAGAAACTTATTCTAGAAATAAAGATTATATCAATCGTAATTTCTGAATTCTATGTTTTGCTCGTTGTTTGTTTCCCTCAGAATCTCCGATCCATATGTCTAACATTGAGCCAAAGTTTACCATCTTGTTCTAATTTTGACCATTGAACACATAACTAAACCCAAACCTGAAAAACATTGGTAATCAAATTGAGGTTTTGCGAGTCGAAACCGTGATCGGGACATAATCTACTGATCCAAACCTAATTATTTTGAGCAGGATGACAGATCTAGATCAAAGATATCCGTCCAAATAATTTTCTATTCCAGAATCTGTACTTGGTTCAATTGCATGTAAAGTAGCTGTCTGTGACATATGTGAGAAATTGATTTACAGATCCAAAAAGAGGAAATTATGCCCTAAGAGTAATTTGGAAGAACCAAGGATCAATTAAAAAGATTTTGTGATTATTCTCGGCTTTAGGATTATTTTCGGGCAAGCCGATAAGAGGATTTCTTAATGTATCATTTTGCTATCTAATGGGCTTATCATTGTTTTTTGGTGAGAAAAGTAGTTAGCAAATTATTTTCAACAGTTATTTTCTTTTTCTTCAAAGTTAGTAGAGTTTTAATTGTGTTATAACTAAAACAAATCCGTAAGAGAATCTATCATAGACTGGAGAGAAGGAATTTATCAGAGAACATTAGAACACTTCCAAAACATAATTATGTTTTTCCCTTGTTTATTTCTCTTTTTTCGCTAAATCGAACACGATATATACATGGCTGTTTAGATTGCTGGAAAAGAGAAAGATAGTGAGCATGTTGGATCACTGTCTATGTTTCTTGATTGTTGCCTGATGAAAGATTTTGGTTGATATTGCTGTAGCTTCAGCAGAGATGCATGGGCACAACCAAGTGCTGGTGACATAGATGAACTCAGGCCATCAGAATTCTCCTCTGATACTGAGGTTTTACCTTCTGGACTCAAATATATAAGATACTGCAAAGCTATCACATTGTTCTTGAATTTTGTGGGATCATTGATGATCATCAGGAACTCAAAAACCCTAGCTTGGAGTTCACCTTAGGAAGACCGGACTGGCAAGGGAGGAAGCATCTTTGACACACTGAGCATACGCACCATTGTGAGCAGTATTTGAGGAGGAAGAGAAAGAGAGCAAGGCGACATCTATCAAGTGTGAAGATACAATGAAACAGTACTAAGCAGCCTTCTCTTTTTGCTGTCTCTTCTGTTGTGGCTGAGATGAGTAAAGCTGGAGTTGGTCATGGTAGGATTCTAACATTTACACATGGAAAGTGGGAAAGAAGGATAAAAGCAAAGCTGTTGTGGTGAAGCAACGAGCAGCACTGTCATCCTCTTCTTTCCATTTGATGCCTCAAACATGTTACTGTAGCCTGCAGCAACTTCTTACAGGTGTTGCCATGGTTGAACGTATGAAATCTTTGACCAAAACCATTTTTCTAGTGCTTCAAGCAAACCCGCTTGAGATGATCATGTGGATCAAAATCATGCTTTATTTATATTAAATAGTGATGAAAAGTACATTATCATTTAATCAGCATCATCGATACACAATTATCATATGGTATCCAAGATAAAAGGGGAAGACGTAGATCACTCTTCATCTATCTAGTCACATGGACAAGCATCCAATACAAATGTTTATGATCGGTTTCGCTTGTCGTCCATTTGGACAAGAGACCAAGGAGAAACGGTTGAAAGCGATTAAAGATTGTCTCTCTATATAATATTTCATAAAATATTTTATCCATTTTATGACTAAATATAAAGGTTAACTTTGACAAAAAAAAAAAGAAGAAAAATATCTTGATTTTTTTATCGTATATATATATATATATATATGTATATATATATATATATATGTATATGTATATATATGTATATATATATATATGTATATGTATATATATATGTATATGTATATATATATATATATATATATGTATTTTTAGACTTTTGATATGCAAGTAATACCTTAAAAGCTTAATGTTTCCATCTCGAAGGCATCTCGAATATTCTTATGTATATTGATCCGAAGACTTTTTCCACTAATATTTTTGACAGTAAAAGAAAATTAAACAAAAAGCTAGCAAATTAATTACATTACATCCAATAAAGAGGATGAGATGAACCGAAGCAAGCAAATGATACCAACCGATCTCTTCTTAGAAGATTATTAACTAATATAATCCTCCTTTCATGACGTCCAAATACAGATTCAGTAAATCACCACCATCAAACATAATGCGAAGAAGCTAAATAAAAGGAGGGAGAAACAAAAGGAAAAGAGAACAATGGCATACGTGTCGTTCTATGGGAAGTTGGAGGGCATATGAGTCAGATCAAATTGGTATTCCACAACAGTACAACGGCGCGGCCGTTGTCCTCTGTTGGGACCCACGAAGACGACGGCCGCGATCTCTCCGGACGTTGGCTAAGGATGGGATTCCCGGAATGCCCCTCTTCCTCTTCGTCGAAGACCACCCACCGCTCGGTGATCACCGTCCCGTAACGGCTTTCTGCCCTTCCGAGGTCCTTCTCCTCCTGTTCCTCCTTCGGAACGCCGCCGAGCAGCAGTTTCTCGAGGTCGGCGATGTCCTCGTCGGGGATGCTCTGCACCGCGGCGATCTCCGCCGGGCTGATGACACCGAGGGTGCGGCAGAGATCGAGGTAAGCGGAAAGCTGCGAGCTTTGCGCCGATGCTCGCCTAAGCACCCTCATTCCGATCTCTCCTCTCCGTCTCCTTGCTTCCGATTGTCGATTATGAACGGGTTTGGAAGAGTCGTGGCCGAGGATGTCGACGAGGAAGTGAGCAACTCCGTTGCAGATGCTGCTGTAGACCTCCAAGATTTCGATCATGACGCAGTCCATGGCCTCGAGGACGAGCCCCACCCCCATGCCGTCAGCGTACGGCCGGACTTGCAACAAGAGGTCGAGGAGGGTCTGGAGGCGCTCGAGCTCAGCGAGGTCAGCGTCCGACTCGGTGTCCTCCTCGTCCCCTGGTTTCGCGGCTGGGCTGGTCGTAAGGGTGGCGTCTTTGACGGGCTTGTTGTGGGCGGAGAAGAGGGAGCGGTGGTCGAGGAAGCGGAAGTAGGCGCGGATGAAGGCGGAGAAGCCGGACGAGGAGGAGCGGTCGCGGAAGTCGGAGAGGTCGAAGGGGAGGCGGCCAAGGCGGGCGGAGGGCGGCGCGTCCTCGGAGCAGAGGAGGAGACCGTGGGCGAGGAGGAGCGACTTGAGGGCGACGGCCCAGGAATGGGTGCGGGCGGCACGGTGGGCCAGGGACCACATGAGCGGGTCGAGGAACGACGTCGGGGCGGCGCGCGCCCACGCGTAGACGCGTCCCGCGCTCTTGTAATCAACCGACCGCTCGTCGTGGCTCGTGGCCCGGATCACCGTCGCATCCACCTCCCGCCCACCACGGCGGGGGCAGTAGTGGTGGTGCCGGACGCTGGCCATTCTCGTCATGCATAGGCTGCCCTTATCCTTCGCGGCCGCCGCCGCTCGGCGCCACCACTCCCTCGGCGACGTCATGGTGCGGGGTGTCGCGCGCCGATCTTTGAATCAAAGAGAAGACTTTTGCCGATGTGGGACTACCCTTGATCGTATCTACAGCTTTCTTCCTTCTTCTGGCTGGCATAATGGACGGTAGCAGGAAGGAGACATGGCATCATAGGAGGAGAAGAATGGAAAGCAGAGGAATGTGGGTGGCACGAAGGAGACGCAGAGAGAGGAGAAGAAGAAAGAGAAGACCAGAAGAAGTGGTTGGTGGGGAAGAGTGGGGCGAAGTCAAACTGGTTTTATATTGACTGGATTTGCTCGTCTTGAGTATTCTTTTTGCTGCCCAATTGGTGGAACGTCAGGAATGGAATGGTCTAAACATGGCCGAGTAATGTTGTTCTGTAAAAGGATTTGAAGGAACAGCTAGGAATTGCGATTACAGAGCTTTCAGCCATAGAAAGCAACGAAGACGAAGAAATAACAAAGGAATCTGAATCTGATGCTGAAAACACAGGGGAAGAGTTGGTCGAACTGAACGTTGACTCATTCATGGATTTAAGGGATGCCATTTCCTTGGAAAAGCTGAACCTTCAAAGGCCGTTTCGAAGGTTTTAATGGAGGATTAACGATACATGTTTGCATGTCATGCCAAATTCCTCAAGGCAAGCATGTCGTTCTCGCATCGACCACAGAGGAAGACCGGAGGGATGTCATCCTTGTCCGGAATCCCCACACAGCGTGTGTGCTGCCAAACCTCACAGATGTCGCAGAAGATCATCGGCTCTCCGTCCTCCTCCTTTCCACCACACAGGCAATCCACGATCTTATTACCACCGTTTCCACCCTCGTAAATCTCCTCTCCGTCATCCCCCTCCATCCTCCCCTCTACCACGATGCTGCTTCCTGATTGCATCAGTTCATGGACCAAGTCCGAGTCCCTGCACCTGACACCGACGATGGAGTCTGCAACGAAGCTCTTCAGTCCCCAGTACACCGCCCTGAAGTGTCTCCCCACCTCCCTCTTCAGCTCGCCGATAGTCGCGTGAGCAGGAACAATCACGGTTTCATGTGGTGGCGTTCTCTCCACATCGGCTCCATTCATGCGGATGCTGCACGAAAGCTTCAAGTACCCATGGCTACCTTCGGCCTTCTCAGGTGGCGGTCCCTGTTGATACTCCTTGACCAATTGCTTAGTGTCCATGACCATCCTTACTGCTACCGGAATTGCATCGAGCATGCCGGTGGCTGCTGCTGAGCTCGGCTCCTTCAGGATGTTCTTATACAGGTAGAACATGTCTCTCATCAGCTGCGTCCTGGTGAGCTGCAACCTGATCCTCGACTTGGAATGGTTACCTGAAGCTAAGTTGTCATGGCCAGTGAACACATTGGATATGTCCTCCAAGCAGTACTCCAGCACTTTGGTGATCGGATTCACGGTGCGACGAACGACGTAGTTGCCAACAATGTGATTTCCCAGCGTTTTCAGGACGTAGTCCAGCAATCCCGTGTCGCCGATGTGTGCCCTCGCAGCGTCTCTGATCTCCTGCCTCGTGACCCACCTCAGCTCGGAGTTCTTGAGCTGCTCCACGATTACTCGAGCCGCCATCTCCACCCTTTTCGTCGACCACCTGCACGACGCTTCAGTGATGGCTCCATGGTAATCCATGGAGTTGGGCGGAAGGCGCGTCTTCAACTCGATCATGAAGCGGAACAGGTCACCTAAGGTGAGCAGCACTTGGTTGCAGAGCGACTGATACTTGCCGACGATAACTGGGATTTCACGACCGAAGCAAGCGAGATGAGGAAGCAGAAGACGGAGAGAAAGGGCGTGGAGGGCATCCACAGAGCGTTGATACATCTGTTCAGTGACTCCATAGCTTCCATGACCAAACCTGTATCCCCATCGACCGAACCACGGCTCACCATAGGCTACACCATGGACCAATCTGAGCTCCATTTTACCCTTCGTTGATGCATCGATTACGCTTATCTTCCTTCACAAGTTCAAGAACTCATAGAAACTTTGTGTATTAGTGTGCAATTGAAACAAATGCAAAGAACTGATGCTGAACAGAAGGAAATGGATGAAGGAAGAAACTACCTGACTTGCAATGCTGTGCATATCCTGTCCCACAAATCCATAATCCGATGACCGGAAAGGAAATGAGAACCACCTTCAAAGCCATTGATGAGAAGCAGATGCCCAAAACCATTGGAATGCAGGACTCCATGCAACAAACAGCGGTTTGTGTTCACCAGCTTCGATCCTGCTGTAGGTTTCTTTGACCACTCTGCATTGGAGTGCAGGCATATGTTCTGCACCTCCGACAAAGTGTCTTTGGTGGGTAAGACAAAGTGAAATCTCTTGCTGCAAATAATGTGGTGACCCCAACCTACTCAGACGATCTCCCGAGGAGACAGCATATCACATACAAAGTATATATTGGATAAAGTTCATCACTGAGAAAATTCTGCCTAGAACCTAATAATTTATGTTGTGGAAAAGAACTGAATGCGAATTCATATCTGGAGTTTGATGGTACCAACAGAGACGCAGTAGCGACATCGACGGCAGGTTGATGTTTCTACGTCCTCTTCCAAGACAAACAGTCGAACACTTGTGGGAGGATGGCGATGCAGTTCGAGCTGAAAAGAATGGCACTGCAGCTCTCCTTGTGCTACAGCTTCAGGGTGGGCAAACATGAGGAGAGCTTTAAGTTTGTCCTGGAACGAGCCAGTGAGATGAGTTGGATTGCCTGTGTCACAGAACGAGTCAAACCCAAAGCTTTGCTCCCCTCTCTTCCTCTTCCTTGCACCTTCAAAGGGGATGCACAACCTGGCCATGATCAACATCTTTGAGCTGAAGTAGCCTGGTAGAAGTCTATATGATGTGTTGGATGAGAACACAGAAGCCTGTGCAGTATGATCACACACTTGGTGCCTAAGCAATTAATTTTATGATAAAAGCATATGGATTTGTTCTTATGAAATTGGCTGAAAGCCTACTTGCTTTCAGCATGATTGAATTCTAAAATCAACAGAGAAAAGGTGTTGTTACCCATGAAAGGTTTATAGTTGGCACCGAGATTGGTGTGTTCATATTCTCCCTCCATGATCACCATATCAAACAGATGGATGAAGAGAGGAGCAAATAGAGAAGCTAAAAATGCATTGGATTGTGATAAATTGAAGTTTTTGAGTCCATCTGAAGTGTTTATTATTGTATTTAAAAATGGAATGCATGTTCTAGAAACTTAGGGTGTATTCTCAAGCGTGAATCATATCTTATAACACAGTTAGGTGGCTTGGATGGAGTATGTGAAATTGAGCAGAGAGATATTTAATGAGTGCAAGCAACATTAATATTGAGAATAAGGCATGGATCATTGGTAGTACAGTGATAGATCATGTTCTACCCTACAAGAAGGCCACCAATGCATCCATCTATCAACCAAGGAAATTGTCAAGCTGCATGGAGTCAATCCACCTTTGGTGGAGATAGTAAATTTGGATCCCGCAATGCATCATTCATTAAGGAGTCACTCGACATCATCGGAGAGAAAAAAGCTTAATGCGATTTTGCCAAATATACAAGAATGACACAGTAGATGTCTGTCATGGAGAGGAACAACATAATGGTATCTTAAAAAAGGCAGCTTACTCGGATCTCACATGAAAGACCAGCTTAAAGGGTCATTTAGCTGAAGATGCAAATGCTCCTATGCTGGATGCTGTCCGATAGTAGTAGCAATATGGTGGATTCCTTCAATCTATGCGAGAGCTTACTTTGCAGGTTACGATGACGTTATGTACAGATGCAAGAAATGGGTTTGCTGTCAATCCTCGATAGATCGCCAGCCATATGTTCGAGTAAGCCGAATCTACCCAAAGAACAACACTTTAATTCACAGCAGGAAGGGCATTGTCGTGCACATACATAATTGAAGTTTTACCTGGGCAAATGCATAAATTGCTCGCAGAATTCGGGCATAATCAGTCCCCAGCATTTGAATCACCACATCTGCCAGAAATGTCCCCCACATCCTGTACAAAAAGTAAGGCATCTACAATTTCAATCATGTAGCGTATGAGCGCTATAAATGCAGAAACACAGGACATCTTCGCTTAAAAATATAGCTCAATTACTTGGTAAGCTTTCATGGCAATTTGTTTAATTGGGATGAGTCTGTGTATATACATGTATGTATTTGCATCCTAGTTATCCTAATTCCAATTTTCAAAAACATGAGATTACAATTGTGAAATTGCAAAACATTGATTCTTCAAAATTGTTATATCTTCATATTTCAAGCATGCTTGGTCCATCTTTCTTGGCTGGGAACATCACTGATAAGTATTAAGCAGAAACAAGAATAAATACTACAAAAAGAGTAACCCAATTGAGGGCTCTTTTGTTTCTTACAATAGCTTCTAATGTTGGATTCCTTCTTGAGGGCAGAGGGCCATCTGCAAGTGTCTAGTTGTCAGCATTTATGCTGACTGCAAGCAACGCCACACATGGGCATTATTCCCTCTAGTCAAAATTTGCAAACCACTAGCCATGGCCAAAGCGAATAAATCTTCTTTTTTTGTCCCATTTCTGAACCACCAGGAGTCACCACCCTCACTTTTACTATCTTTTAGCATATGTATATCTAGTGTTTTGGAGTTTCTAGGATTTGTGATGTTATAACAATCCTTGTGAGCTTTCTGTCTGCATTTTTATTTCTTCTGAAGTCCTTGTGAGCACAAGCTGTCTCAGCAAATAATGGGGAAAATGATAGAGGTGCTAATGTCATATCTAACAACCCATCTAAAGCAGACCTAGCAATTAGAAGCAAGTCACTTAATTCTTGTGTCCAAAACTATATTTTCTAATTGTTTTAGTATAGAACTATTGAAAATCATATGTACAAAAAGTTTGCGTAACAAGTCTAACTTCAAGAACAGTTCAGAAATTTAACTTTTTCGTATAATTCACTACATTTAGAATTCAAAGATGAAAGCCAGCAGTTATGTCATCGATATAAACGAAAGCATCAAATCTTTACTCAAGTTGCTTTGAAGAATACAAATAACTCTCACACTGGTCCTAGGATCATCATCACGCTTCTAAGTCCAAGATATCTTGATGCAGCATGAGCCAAACCCTGCATAATAGATGTTAAGCAAAAGATATTTGGATAATTTAAGTGTATCAAGGGTTAATAGATTATCTTGCTTATGTCTTTGCTTGCCTAACTAATTAATGCTATTAGAGTGGGAGAAGAAATCATGTCTATCCAGAAGTAATGAAAGGTTGACCTGTCTTGCAGCAAGCTCAGCTGCTTTTGACTCCAGGTTGATAGCAGCCAATTGTCCACCCTGACAACCACCACAGATGAAACATGTTTATTGTGGAAAAGTAATATAGGATAGCAGAACTAGAAGAGGTAAATGTTTGTCCAAATTCATGATAACCACTGAATCTTAAGAAAAGGAAATTAAAAGTCCAAAAATCTCTAGTTATTGGACATTTATTCACACAAACTGCAGGGTTCTTGCTTTTTTGATAAAACTAAAGCCCATAATTCCCTCATTCGTAAAATTATCCTTTGATACTCTAAAGAATAACATTGAGACAACAATAGTCATGTTTGCATAATATGATGATGAAGAAGTACCAGAAGAAAAGCATCACAAACAGAGGATGCTTAAAATTTGTGCAAACAATCAAGTTCTTTTCTCATATGCAATATTGCCAAGAAAATTGATAAACAAATTAATAAAGCCACTAAAGTTTTCAACTTGCCTGAAAGGCGTGTGCACAACTTATACATCCATATCTAGTTGTTTATATATGTGTGAAAGCTAGCATATTTGGTATATATGTTTAGCTGTGTAAACGTAAAAGGCACATGAAATTTAAACTTCCACATTAAATTTAAATATAGTTTCAATGCCAAGTCAGAAGTTAAAAGCTCCCAAATATTAGATCTACAGTTAAATTTCAGATGCTGAACAAACATTTTCTGAGAATTAAGTATCTAATAAAAATAAATATATTCTTAGAGAAATTGATTTCATAATGTGCATGATAAAACTAACACAAATCTAGATATACAAGTGTGGCAGAAGTGCAAGATAACTAAAAGATTTATCAGATCTATTCATCAAAGATTAAGACTTCAAAATCTCATCCGACAAATTTTTTGCATTATGGTGTATGATTTGAATATATCTAAAATATCAGTTTGATGATGGTGTATGAGACCCACTTTTACCAAATGTTAAGGATTTGAATCCTCGTCCGACAAATTTTATCAACTAAAATATTGGTTTAGTGATAGTGTTATACCAAAGTCACCAGCTACATTAACTTAATGCATATTTATTCATATTTTGGTAATACAAAAGGACAAATTGCATACCCGCTTAATTATCTCATGCTTTATCTCATAGTTGGCAGCCTCCAAAAGCATCTTACCAGAAAATTTCCTGGCCAACTAACATATAACACAAAAAAGAGAGATTATGATAATATGATGGAATAAAAAACAAATGTTTATATGGCATCATGATAAATGCATGCATACCAACTGATATATCCTTGTCACAGTTAACATTCCACATCCCTAATAGAAGATAGAAGATCTAGTTAGTTAAAATACAACAAGATAAAACATGTAGTGATAAGGAAAAAAAGTTAAAGACAGTAAACCTTCATGACTGCATGTTGAAGCTCCTTTGCCCCACCTCTCAGTGCCCCAAGAGCAAGGACCTTCCATTGACTTAGTCCAACTTCAAGACTTCCATGGCTGTTCGAGAGTTTTTTGCCAACTGATGGAAGAGAAACAGGATGAATCTCCTCACTGAAATCAGCAAGTAATCCAAAGGAAGGTCTATGTTACACCCAGCTACTATGTCATACCAATATGAATGCAGGAGAAAAACACAACATGATAAACATTGGTGTCAGCCTTGGACAAATAGGATACCAGACAGCATATTCTTAGCCAGAAACACTTATCTGATACATGAGTATGTCATGATATAGAAACAAGAATCACACAAGCACTCATACCTCACCAAAAGAAATTTATTCTCACTTCTACACTATCACAAACTTAACCAGGATTTAAGATGAAAGAAAAAGGATAAATGTCATCATCTAAGTCTGCTTTGTAAAGTAGATCAGGCAATTAAATCCATCATAGCAGATGCAACCTACATGTCACAGGTGAAAATAGTGATGGAACAACTTACCGAGTATACTTCTTACACCAGTCCAATCAGGGACCAAGAGGAAATTTGCCTAGTTTTGGGTGGCACACACAAAAGGACATTTATATCAATTTTCTCATTTACAATTATTTTTATCTTTTTTATTAAAACTAATCTCAGATCATCTATCAATACCAGTTTTCAACTAGTTCCAGCAGTTTCAACTAAAATGGACTGGAACAAATTAAAAAGCCCAATGTCGTAACAGTCATTTACCTTCTCTTCTATGGTGGCAATGCCTCTTTAGTACTCTCTCCGTCCCCCCACCTGTCTCTCTTCTCTATCCCACAACAAAAATCATTCCTCAAATTTCACAACCCATTAAAGATGTTGTTAGTTGATTATTGATGAGGTTCTCACTGTAAGATAGAACTTTATTCAGTAAAAATATATCTACTATTTCTGTCTTTTATTCATTATTTGTTCAATTTGTACAAGATCACTAGTGAATATCTGGCATATACCAACCTATCAAACCAGTTTAACTGGTGGCCCCAACGCAGCACTATACCCAAGAAACAAATCATTGATGATGTAGCCTCTCCGCCTGGTGGGTAAAGCTAGTAAATACTACTCACTGCATCCTAAGAGCCTTGCACACTGGGCTGCCCTATTCCATATAATGTAACCATATCCCAGACAAAGAACTTTATCCTCTGTCACTATTTGCATGTATCTATATCATGATGCCAAGTGTGGCACTACATTGTATTAATATTTATCCCTAACATCTAATGTTGAAACCGTGATAGGCAAAGAGCTAGTCACCTAGAAAGTCATCTAAATGTGACTGCCCAGCTTGGAAAACAGGCATCGACTAGTATTGATCAGATGAAAAAAAAACACCTGAAGATCCAAAGCATATCAGATTAAAATCCTTAATATTGACATACAATTGGAGCATAATTAAGACATCCTCAGATATAAACTAATGCCAAGACACTCAATTGTCTATTATAGCTATTAAGACTGTTAATTATGTAGGAGAAACATGTTAAACAAGTCTAAGTTAGGTTAAGGCCAAAAGAAAAACTGATCCACCCAAGGTTTCTCTGGGGTCAAAACTTAATTAAGTTCGTGTCAAATCTAAGCTGTCGATATTAGAGTTCTACTTCTAAATTTGGGTTCAGTTCCTGTCCTGTTAGATCATGTTATTTAGAAGGATTACCTACAGTCCCTAGTATGGAAAGAAAATGCCAGCAACTTATTTTCTGGATTTGTGGCTGGCTGGGCGAATAAAGAAGCCAGCTTTGTATTAGGATGTCTTATGCAAACCCAAAGTTTTGGCTGACTGTTTCATGGGAAAATCTGCATGAAAGAATTGATTTTACAATAAATAGTCATTCATATGTACGTAAAAAATCAGTCGGAGAAAATCTGTCATGCGTCAGTAAATACTGTGCTTTGAAAAAATAGTTCAGATAACTACAAGCCAAATGTTTCTGCTTATTTATATCTTCTGCTTTGTAAGTTATGGTGGTTAAGTTATGGTGGTTACAGGACCTGTGTTTTTCATTCAACAAGCTATATAAAAAGCAACAATCATAAAAAGTTTAAGAAAAGGCTTCCATAGGAGAACCTAAACATGATATTTTTCAATCTCCAGATTAATGCACAACACAAAATGGTTCCACAGACAGAGACATTTAACAACACACCTTTCAAGAAATGCTGCATGACAATGAAAAAAATGCATCCACTGATAAAAAAAAGTTACTGGGATTGTAAAAGTCTTGGAAAGTAGATGCTTATAGTTCTTTTTACTGTTTCCTTATCCTTCTGTGGTTAGAGCCTTGCATGCAACAATTTTCCTTTAAGTTCATTATATGTTGCAATGGAGCAAATACTACTAACTACAGTCACTTGGTTGAAAAAGAACATATCCATGAAAGTATTTGCAGTCATTTAAGGGATTCATCATTTCAACATTAATAGTTATACAAACAAATTCACATATCTTTAACTTCCATAGCCAAAAGGAATGGTGACAAGTACCTTGAATATTCACTCAGCAAGTGGAGAAAAATTTCTACTTCAAGGTCCTCTGTTGACAATTTACTTGAGCAAGGAATGCCAAGTTTTTTTCTAACTCCAAGTAAGATATTTCTGTAGGAAGGTCTCCAACCCCTTCAAAGATAGCAACAAACAATGGTGTAAATGTAATACAGGATTCTCACTATAATCAGGGACAAACCAAAGATTCAATTTGCACTGGAAAATTTACGCCAATGGATTGAGTTCACCATAAAAACAATAAAATGAGAACATACATCAAAATCTAAGAAGCAAATAACAAGTACAGGACACTGAATTCTTAAAAGTTCCTAACCTTAATGTTGCCCGAGCATCTGCTGCAAGGTACAAGAATTGTGACTCTAGGTGTTCTATAAAATCTTCTCGTTCTTCAATATATTCACCATTCACAGTGAAATCAGCATCTCGTTTGCTTGTGATAGATTTTAATAATGGGCTGAAGAAGCTGCAGCAGATAAACCTTAAATTTTGTTCAAAACAGGAGATTTGCAGGTCAATAGTCAAATACTTAATTAGCACACAGGAGCTTTGAAAACTGAACATGTGCTGAGAAAAATAGGCAAAGATACATACCCTCGTATGTATATTTTTATTGGAAGATTGATATCCTTCAAAATTCAGAAGATCAATCTGCTTGCACTAGTAAGGTCATATATATTGACCCTCCCTAGACCCCATAGATGGAAGTCTTGCACACTGGGTGACCCTTTATATCCCTTACAAGAAGCATAAGATTAACTACCAATTAAGCCAAAGGTACTGACTGACTGACAATAGGTTTACTTAAATAGTCAAGCCGTATCTTGATTTGAAATTCTTTAAAATCTTATGACCATAGAGATAGGGTTGAGCTCCTTCCTTGGGCTGCAACTGTAATAGTGTAGTAGATCAGTACAAAGCTCAAAACTTCAAACTTGAAATTTTAGTAACTACTGATGGCTTAGAGCCCTCCTCTCCCCATTCCCCAAGATGTGCCCACCCTTGCCTCAAAAACTTACAAAAATAATTATTTGGTTTTGTAACTTCTCTCTACATTTACGACATTTATAACCAGATAGGGTAAAACTGTGTTAGGAATCTCATACCCTCTAACAAGTGCTTCTCTAGTTGGATGAAGAGAAGAAGCTCTCCACTTGCAAAACTAAAGGAAAGTGGAAGATTTTATTAGTGGTACAAATGTCTTAGAGATGTTCACAATCAACTATATATAGGCTGCTATTGCCAAACCTAAATGCAACTAATTATAATATTGTTTTAATAAAATTCCCTATTGCCTTTTTGTCTAAATCCCACATATGGGAAATCTTTCCTAGCCAACATACTCAAAAATTTTATTCTCCTTAGAGACCTGTAGATATTCTCCTAGAAGCCAATGACATAGAAAAGGTTGCAGTGCCATCTCAGCAGATAAAAGGTCTGATCAACCCCATCCATCTTATCTGCCCCAAACTAAAGAGCAACTTGGTCCGAGCAGGTCTAGTTGGTTGGATTGAATCTGCAACCTCATGAATCGACTGACCTAGCAGGTTCAATCCAACATTATAACTGTTTCACATGTATCATCTACCACACATGTGGGCCTCATCTTCAAGGCTAGGTATTGTGGGTATATCATATTTCAGTCTACCATAGGTGTAAATGGCCGGGTTAATGTTTAGAAGTTTCTAGCTCAACACAATTATAGCCAAACCAAATTTTTACCACGACTTGGAGGCACATGAGTAGCTTCTGAGGTCTAAAACCATGAGGAGCACATTTTTAGCAAATTCACAAAGCGTTTCAAGATTTAGAAATCTTTACATGAGATTAATTATTTAACACTAATTATGAGCAATTGGATACCATTTTTCACAGCTCAACAATTCACGATGGTATTCATTGGCCACAAAAAGTAGATTCAAGGAAACCTACATTTCCATATAGTTATTCAAACTCTAGCCAAAGAAAAAAGAAGTGTGGTGGAAAGGGAAACTGATCTTGGGACAGATCAACAAAGTATTCACCTTCAAAGAGGGCAAGATAATCACTACTCGGATGTAGACTATTTCCCGCATGGAATTCTACATTGTTTCTGGCAAGAATTTGCTTGTGTGTCAACTTGTCTCAAAAGCTCAGCCTAATCTACACCGGGTGAAATAACAGGGGGCATGACTTAATCTGATAACATGATAAGATTTTAATTGGCTGACCACAAATCCCAAAAGCTTAAGCTATTGGAAAAGCGCCAAACTAATACATAAAGTCTTAACAATTTCCAATAAAACCACATGTAACAAACCAAGAGAGTGAAATTAGAGCAAGAGAATCAAAATTATTTTGAGTCAGGAACTAAACACTTTGCAGATATCATGAAATAGTAATTAGATCATACTTCCATTAATCGGCCGAACATACAAAACCAAGCAAACATATCGAGATTTAAAGCACAAATTGCACTCCACATGCAAAACCTTCTTTTTATTTTTCAAAACTCTAAAAATACGGAGAAAGAAGTGGTAACACAAAGAAAACTCACCTCGGTCCGAACAGAATGTGCTCTAGCTCAATTAGTTCAGCATCCGTCGCGAGTTCAAGCACCAACCTCAGTTCTGGATCAAACGTCTCTGCAAAACAAATGTCGGTAAGATCCAATCATTTGCCATGTTCTTCCTCGTCTTTAGAACAGAAATTATAAAGAACAAAACTTTCACGCAAAGACGAAGTTTACCTGCTCTTCGGGCGGGCACTTCTGCCTTGGGAGAGCACAAACGGAGACCGGGACAGCCACTTGGATCCCCACGGCGAGGAAAAGGAGCGATTTTCCGGCTCACCGCAAGTTCAATCTACAAATTCCATTTCGACAAAACCTAGTCGGTTCAGCGGATCCATCCCCGATTCGTATCAAGCGAAAGATTAACATGAGATGGAAGGACTAACCCAAGAAGAGGAGGAAGAAGAAGGAGATAGGTCCCGTCTAGGGTTTGAGGCGGTACCGAAGGAGAAAGAGGAGGGGAGATGAGCGGAGACGTACACCATCGGTCTCCGCCGCGGCCGTCCCTCGCGCTCGCAATGAGCCGAGTGAGGAGGTAGCCGCGGCTTATATTTGGATATGGGCGATTTTTCTTTTTTCTTTTTTTGAAAATTATTTATTAGTTTTCATCACTCACATGGAAATATTTTTGTTTTCTTTTTATTTAAAGAAAAAAAATCGTTGTCCACATCAAATCCTTGCGTCAAGATTCGGGATGTCGACCTTGATGATCGTTTCAGACTCTGCAGTCCACACACCACGTAGCATTGGCAACACAAAGCGATCGACACCAATAGACCATAAGAACCATTCATAAGGATCGCCCACCCCATTTTATTTTGTTTTCTTTTTCTCGTGCGCCACAAAAATTATATCACCTATTAATGTGAACTTTATCACTTGCCACCTTTCATTCAAAATCAAATAATTCAACATCAATTCAAACTTCAAAACTTTAATTTTTAAAATTATGAGTCAAACCTAATATTTTTAATATCTTTCCCTATTCATATGTGAGTTTAGGATGTTCTTCTTACTAGTAAAGGTTTAAATTTTGAGTTTGTATCTTTTTCGATACTATGAGATGGTTCGTTCATCCATGTCTAACCCTAATGGTGCGATTCATTTTTATTCAATCAAATCGTAGCCTAGGTTTTCTTTTTATTCATTCATATCAAATTTTTATCCACTTAGCTCTGATACCATGTTAGAAATTTTATAATGCTAAGTCCGAGTCAAATAAATCAAGATTAACATATATTAGATAAAAGTCAATATTGTGATCATGAGTTGAATCCAACAAAATTATACTCATTTAATGTTAAAAAAAAATATAATTTCGATCAATCAATATTTTAGGATAAAAGTCTTGTTTAGACATTCGAATTGATTAATGAATTATTACATAAGTAATAGGTCTTAGGTCCGAGTCTTTCATCATTTAACACAATAATTTTTTTTTTAATTTTATAAAAAAATAATTTTTAGGAGAAAAAATATTTGATTTTCTGACACAAACTAATTATTTGGGTAGATAGATTCCCATATAGTTTAAACTCTAGCACATTATTGACACATTGAAAATATTCATCAAGAAATTAGAAGTTGAATATTAATAATATATAAATAGGGAGGTAAGAGAACATCTTGCCTAATCTCTTAGTCACCCTTAGATATCAAGAATGTTCACCGTTGGAACAAGAAGACGTCTATTATGGAGAATAGATGCACTCATATATCCAATTAATGAAGTCTCTAAGGAAATCAAGAATCTTAAGCATCTCAGCCATTGAATCTCAAGAAAGCGTCTGGGTAGGTCAAATAATTTATAGACAAAATAACTCTATGCTATGTCCTCAATATTTTTTTTTGATCTATCGAGATGTATATAGATTATTCACAAGAGATAATCTTCCTTAATTCTTTTTAAATATTATTTAAGATATTCTTGACTATAATACTATTCAATCATAAAATGAAACATATATCCACACTTTTAAACTCTATAGAGCAAGCATTCGGATAACTTCTTAATCTTTATTACATATCACAATCTCATATGATATGGTATATTTGGCATCGCCCATGTGGACCAGACAAGATGGTGCAAACGTGAAACCTCAAGTATGATGTGGCGTGCAGCACACATGTGGCGGGCAATCGTTTGTCTCCCCCTCCGTATCAACGACATCATCATGGTACAACCATCCCGAAAAGCTTGGGACAGCATCGCGTGGCGTCGATCCGTGCAGGTTGGTCAACGCTCGTACAGAAGCTTAAGTCGATCGCCCGAGGAGCCGGTCTTGGTAAATTGACCCTGTACGACCAACTCATCCTCGTAGATATAAAAGCTAACCCTCCCTAATAATGAGGGGGAGGCATTTCGAACTCTCAACTCTCTCATATATACTATTGACTTGAACTTCAGAATGATCAAGTTAGAAAAATCTCTCTCCCGACCTCGATCTGTATGCAGGAGCCCACAACGAAGAAGCAGGTCACTCGCCAAGAGAGAAGATTGTGCTTGAACCCGACCTGACCCGACGCTCGTCCTCACCACCCGAGCATCCACGTGAGCGACCTTGTACATCGAGGACTGGACTAAGTCATGCTGACACATCGACCACGGCGTAAAGATTCATGAACATCATATATTCGCAACAAGAAAACACATCTCGATTTCCATCCATAATAGTCTCTTCATGCAAATTCCTTTTCGACCATCGAAAGCATATCTCATGATTGATGGGCCTATGCATTGTTCGAGAGATTGATCTCCAGTATAAACTATATCAATATGTTATTAACATCCGATATATCATAACAGTGATTGAACTCTCTGAGGCATCTTCCTTCATCCTTCATCCTTCATCCTTCATCCTTACCACCACCAAACCTTTATTTCCGTACAGAGAACAAACAAGCAAACAAAATCACTGTGGCTTGCTTTTTCCTTGCTCCACGAAATCGCACAAGAGACGGAAGATGTAGGGCAGCATGTGCATGGGGAGCTCCGTTCAAGCTCCTGGCTTCTCTGATAGCCATGCACATGCCCAGCTTCCACTCGCACACCTGTACATGGACTTCCACATTTCGACTGGAGACACCCATGGCAGAGGCGCTGCGGCAGTTATACAAGCAGAGGAGGACAGAGCCTAGTTCCAGCTTCGCTCTTCTTGTGAGGAAACATGAATGAGGAATCTAGTAACGCTAATGGGGGAAGAAAAGAGGGCCTCCGCTGGAGCCTCGTCTGCCCTCCTGTCTGCCTACGTCTGTGGCCACATGAGCTCCACCCGCTTACTAGAATCCATGGCGTGTACTGGCACGCACTACGAGAGGCCTCTAATTATGAAGCCGGTTCACGCCCGTTGCATGGCCACCACCCCCTTCCCCCCCGGACAGAGGCGAGCTGCACCTCTCTCTCCCATAATGGATCCCATGCCCGTCGCCTTCTTCTGGCCTTTTGGGTGGCAGTGTGTACATGCAGACAGCTGATGGCTTTGGTTCTTCTTTCCCCGCCTCCATATCGTGTCAAATCTTCACAAAAAACCATCCGCAAAGTGAATGGGATTGTTTCAATAGTCTCGAAAAGGACAGTTGATTGGTCTACAGTATGGAGTACTCATCACTTATCATTCAAACCAGAAGCTAAAGTTCGAGTTAAGCCATTCCAGTAGACTAAGATGGAAACAGAACCTGTCGTTGGCAAAGAACATATCTCATTTGAAGTAATGAAAAAGTCGAAGGAATTCATGTGCAATCCGAGTATAATTAAGGGAAAAGCACCGCAGCTTATAATTAGTGGGCGATGCAGCCACGACTCGAGGGTTGTGACTTTACTGTGGAAGACGAGTCATCACTGAATCTATCAAATCGGCAACAGAGTGATGATCACCAGCTGCAGCCCCAGTGGGGCCATTCCAATCCACGCGATGTGGGGTCGGTGTCCCGCAATCATTTCTTCTCATGAGGGTAGCCAACACCTTTCGACACATCCTGCGTTGGAGGACATGTGGACAAGCTCTCATTCCGGTCTCAAATGGCTAGTGGGGGAAGGTGAAGCACCATTTATTATTGTGTCCAGGAAAATTTTGTTCAAACCAGCTTGACTTCGGGGAGGACGACAGGATGCAACTTTTGATATCGACTCCCTTCCCCACCACCTGCCTGCTTTCTATTCACTATTTGTTGTGGCATGTTTTGTCTCTGTGTTCTCACCTGCCAATTGAGTCCATCCTGATCCATAATTTAGTAGGGTTTAGTTGAATTCATGAGTTGTTTCTTCAGCATGCATTTGAATTATATGGGTTAGGCACTTGTGTTCTTCCAGCTGGCCTTCGTACTCTTCCTTTGAAACATATATGTCAGATTCAGATGCTGAGTTGTCTTTGCTTCTTCCGGAGGTCTCGTCCGGCACTGTTTCTAATTGTTACTCTCTCTCTCTCTCTCTCTCTCTCTCTCTCTCTCTGTGTGTGTTTCGTTTTATTCTCTCTTTTTTCTTCGTAGAAGCTGAATCACCCAACAGTATGCACTTCAATGGCTTTTGCACGTTCTCTCACACTAGATCACGTTGTTCTTCGGTCAAACAAGGGCCCGCTGATCTGTTCACTAGATCACCACTTGAAGCTTGCATGCAGAATACTTCCATTCCATCGTATTGTGGAAGGAGAAGCTAATTACGTTCCTAAACATTATGCTAAGACGAATCTGAAACTTCCATTCTCTCAAAGTATTAGAACAAAAATGATCTCGAGAGGTAATCACAGAGACTCCCTTGCACTACATATGTACAATTATTATGAGGAATGCATGCAGTGGCAACAGATACATCATCATCTTCATCCCTTGGTTCTTATGATTGTTATGGTGCCCCTCCCACGTGTTTGGATCCGTGTGAGGCTGACGACTACCTTACCGGAGAGGCCAGGGCCGTCCGGCGACACACGGGGGCCCTGCGCGTACTCCCCCACCGGGTGGCGCACAGGCCGCCTGGGACGCATGAGAATCCTCGCGTTGATGTCGTCAAGCGTCACGTCGCCGTCCGCTCCCCCGGGCTTCACCACAGCAAAGGGGTACACCACGCTCATCTTCGCCTTCGTCGTCTTACTGCATTGTCTTCTCTCGCATTCTGTCATGCCCACAAGAATTAGACTCCGTCAAAGGAGTGTGCTGCGTGCATGTTCTTGGTTCATACACATGTATGATTCAATTACCTCTCAAAGTAAGCGCTTTTGCTTTAGAGCTACAAGGTTTCGTGTCTCTTGGTGACTGAGGAGGATCTTTTCCATGTAGTTCATTGGAGTTGTGTGGCTCTTCGTAGGAGGTGGAAGAGGAGAGAAGTGGCTCTTGTGGGTGCTGCAGACCGGCGACTTCTGTGTTGGCCTTCAGCAGCACGTTGAAAGGGTCATCTGTGTGAACATGGAGCAATTAAAGGAGTTCTTCTAGTAGAATTATTACCATTAACCTATAATTGTTTGCCAAAGCAAGACATAATTCTCACTACCTGGGATGATGACATTATCCTGTAGCAAGTAGCTCAGATCATGCAAGGAGGGATCGCCATGGCAGCTTAAGTCCCAAAAACCCTACAAATGGAGAAGGCAGAAGGAGAGAGTTAGGCAAAACTCAACTCAGCGTTAAGCTCCATATATAATTCGAGTCTTGATTACTTGAAGAAGATTCTGGAGGCCTTCGTTGGTCGTCGAATCATGAACGGGGGACGAAGCTGTCAGCCGCCGCCGCTTGCACCGGTCGCTCCACTCGGCCACCGCGTCTTGCAAGTAACCGGTGGAGGCCTGCGACGACACTGGCGACTCCATCTCCATGGCTATCGATGATCACCAAAGCAAACATCAGTGCTGTTGAGCTCAAAACCATGCCAGTGTTTGCAGAAACCAAAGAAGAGAAGGGTAGTGACTACCACTCAAAGGCACGAGTTGTTCGTGGAGATCTCCAGCTCCAAAGGTGTGTGGATCCCAATCCCAGGAGGTTTGGTAAGGGAATAGAAAATGGGTGTCCATGGCCATCATATCTCAAGAACAAGTCTGCTGCTGCTGCTGCTGCTGCTGCTGCTCTTTCTCTCTCTGCAAGGAGGAGGAGAGAGGCGGTGGTGGTGTTAAATAGGAGGCTTTTGGGAAAAGGGGCAGCCAAGTTGGATGATTAGAAGCAGTCAGTCAATGGAAGAGGGAAGGTAAAAAGGTGAAAGAAATATAATATTCAAAGTGAGGAACCAAAAGAAAAGTTGTCTCTTTCTCGTGATTCGTTATGTTGATCTTTTTTTTTCTTTCTTTCTTTCTTTTTTTTATTCTTCTTTTAATCTTGTGGAAAATCCTTTTGGGGGGTAACTTTCTGCTGCTCAATCTTGTGAACTAATTAATTGTGTTGCAAACTTTTCTGTGTGGCACACTAAATTATTGCTAGTCTCATGTGTTATGATCGAATTCCCAAGCTATATACTTTTATGATCTTATAAATATAATATATATATATAATATTATTATTCATATTGGTAAAATATGAGGAAACATGATGAGATGGTGGGATTACAATGATTTGAGTAGTAAGAGATATTCTATCCGTGATTAATTACAATTCAAGAATCGAACAAATTAACATCTTCCTCACCTAATTCGATAAGATTTTGCTTGATTAGGAATTCTCGATTTAAGAAAATTTTAGATTTGTTCTATTGTCATGATATTTAGATTAATCTAATTCAAATTAGACTCACATGTATAAGAAGTATGGTATAATCGAAGGCTCAAATACTTCATGTTAGTTTGGCAAGTCCCATAGTCCCACATCGAGAAAATCAGACTTGTTGTCTCGTTTTGGAACTATAAATAAGGGCCTGAGCTTTAATGTTATACACACCACGA